GGCCCGAGGACTAGAAGCCCATTGGAAGGTGTAACTATGTGGATAAATATGGGAGGTGTTTTCCTAGGTGTTGTTTTAAAAATAAAAGATAATAGACTATTTTTTTTCCTATTTAGACGATGATCCTTTATTTATTATTTATTATTTTAATTGGGGAATTGGGGGAGGATTGGGGGAGGGGAACAATGTTAGGGAGTTGGGGAAGGGGACCAGCCAAGTTGTTCTTCTTCAATCTCAGTTGTGGAGGGCACCAGTCGCCATCTGGCTGCCCGTCCGCAGCTCGTGGCCTCTAAGCTCAAGGTGCTGTGTTACAATCTTAGTTGCGGGTGGGCGTAGCCACCATCCCATGCGGGAGTCGAGCCAGCAGCCTTGTTGTTAAGGTGCACGCTCTATCCACTGAGCCATCCGGGCAGCAGCTCAGCTCAAGGTGCCAAGTTCAGTCTTAGCTGCGGGTGGGCATAGCCCACCATCAAACAGGCAATCTTGTTACACCAGCTGAGCCATCCTGCCACCTGTTGGCAGCTCAGCAGCAGCTCAGCTCAGGCGCAGCATCACTGGCCCATGTGGGAATCGAACTGGTGGCCCTGTTTCTCAGAGCTTGCGCTCTTAAGCTAACTCATAACCAACTGAGTCACTTGGCTGGCCTGATAATAAACTAGTTAAAGCAAAAATAATGAAGGTGCATTATAGGGTTTATAATCTTTATAGAGGTGAAATATATTATTATAAAAGCATGAAAGACGGGAGGAGAGAAAATAAATATACGGTTGCAAAATTCATATATTTTACATAAAGTGGATAATGTCACTTCAAGACACTGACAAATTAAAGATAAGGCATTTGACCCAGTCCAACACTCGAAAATGATGACAGTCTCAGCAGTGCAGGGGTAGAAGGGAACTTCCTCATCCCGCTGAAGGCCGTCTGTAGGTGACATCATACCTAATGGTGGAGCCACGGTGACTTTCTCCTCGAGCCTGGACCAAGGCAGAGGTTCCCCTGCACACCCTCCACTCATTCAGTGTGGGTCCCGGCTGGTGTGACGAGGCAAGAAACGCAATGGAAGGCAGGCACTTTGGAAAGGAAAAAGGACAGCTCTTTCTCTCTGTCTCTTTTTGGTAGAAGAAACTGGCTGTGCATGTAAACGGTCCTAAGGCCTCTATAAACCCTGGCAGAGAGGATTGAAGCCCCTCCCCCAGCCCCAGCCCCCACCTCCCTTGGTTCCCAGAGGAATTTAGTATTTATTTGCCGCACACGTTTTTTGTTCTTTTCCTACACACACGTCACCATAAACAGTCTACGGCGGTGCTCCTTGCACTTTTAAGCTGTGTAAATGGTGTCACGCAGCTGTGCTCAGAAGCTGCGTCTTGGCTGGGTCCGGGCAGCACTCGGGTAGCTCAGGGCTGAAGGGCTGAAGGCTGGGAGTCCCCGAGCTGGCCCCTGGCTAAGCCACAGGCCCCATCTGCTCCGGCCACACTTGCATGGACACCTGTTTGCAGCTCACTGCGTTTTAGACACTGGCTCCAGCGGGGTACCCACGCCAAGGCTCCCCGAAGCCTCCTGGTCGTCTGGTGGGCTGGAGTCCAGGGGCCACAGGCTGGGTCCCAGGAGAGAAGGGCCAGCGTTCTCCCTTGGGGTTTGGGATGAGTCCCAGCCCCTCTACAGGGGGTGCCCGGGCTCTCTGCCCTGGAATTCCAGGAGCAAACCCGGCTGCCCTTCCTGCTGGGGACTGAGTTGTGAGCTGTGTGGGGATGGTGCCACCCAGGTGCACGGCGCACTTTCCCTCCCAGGGATCAAAGCCCAGGCTCCCGGCTGGCGGCCACCTCACACCCCAGGCCCCCACTGTGAGCAAACGTATGCTGCTGGACAGCTCTCTCGGTCCCTCTGTCCCCACGAAAGCCACCCTGGGTCTGGTCCTTTTACCCCAGTGAGGCCACATCTCAGTTTGGGGAAGACTTTTGCCACCACGAGAAATAAGGTTAACGGTCCTGAAAACAGCGTGTCTGCAAATACCTGAGAGACCCGCCTGGCCCACCGAGAAGCTGGAGGGCAGCTTCAAAGTGTCTGTCTCCCGGAAAACGGGTTCCTCCTCAACACACTTTCCTCCTGTCGGCGTTTCCCTCCCCGTTTCCAAAATGGAGCCTTTCCCCTCAGTCTCGATGCACGGAGCTGGGCTGGAGGAAGTCCAAGTCCGCTTGTCACAATATTCCGTTCATGTCTGTCCTTCCCCCTGGGTCTCCCCACAATAGAGCTATTATCAGACGGCTCTTCTTCCACGGTTTCCCTCTCCCCGCGGGCTACCGAGGAGAAAGGATGCCAGGCGGACAAAAACGGGAGGGCTCTCACTTGCTGGAGCCCCAGTGCGCCAGTCCGGGAAGGGCCATCGTGGGCGTGTCGTGGGCCATCATGGAGACTGTCATTCAATTCCGTGAAGGACATTTGGAAGCATGGCCTTTCGCCAGTTTTGTGATTCACGTCATTTGTCCTCTGAGAACAGAAATGTATTTCCCAGAGAGAAGCCTTTCAAGCTGGAAAGCTTCTGGGTCTCCCGGGCAAACCCCACACCGGACCTTTGGGGTTCGAGATCTCACCAGTGCTTTGTCAGTCACACCGGGAGAAAGAGAACCTGAGACATTTAAACGCGTCCCACCAACCCTGCGCTGGGGGAGCACACTTCGCCTGACAGGGGCCCCAGTCCGGGCCCTGGGGTCTTGTTCCAAGATCAACTTTCGTTTCTTGCTCTTGACGGCTACCGGGAGCTGCTAATGGGGGGCCCTGCCTCACGCCCTCTCACTGCTTCCATCACAGCATGTCCAGGCCCCTTCAGAGGCGCTGGGGTTCCCAGAATGCATGTTGAGTGAGGGCCCTTATAGCAAGCCATTCATTCATTCACTCACTCACTCACTCACTCACTCACTCACTCACTCATTCATTCGTGTAACCCTCCTTCTACGCAGAGTGTGTGTCAAGCCAGGCTTTGGGGACAAAGCGGTCCATCAGGGCGCTCTCCATCTTCACGGCCTCCATCCAGGGTGGGTGACAGTTGCTGACCCAGGAACCGAGGCTCTGAGCCCCTGCGTGTCCCGGGGGCCTGAGGTGGTGGCCTGTGGGGGCAGCTGCGGACCTGGGCACTTCTAAAGTCACCAGGAGAAAGGGGTTGCTGTCATTTTTCTGGTTGACACTGTCATCTTGTTTTCCTGTCTTGCAAGGACAACAGAAAAGATGAAGGTCCCCTCGGCCTGCATGGGCGGC